TATAAGAAAGTACATCAGAGTATGAAGGTAAGTGTTGATAACAAAGGGGCAATTGCACTAAGTAAGAACCCAGTTAACAGACAACGTTCTAAGCATATTGACATAAAGTACCACTTTGTACGTGAAATGTATGTTAAAGGCGTCATCGATATTGTACATTGTCCTACCCAAGATATGGTAGCTGATATCCTAACAAAGCCACCCACAAAATGTAAACTAGATAATTTTAAAAGTATCGTGTTCGGTTGTGGTAATTAGTTTATATTCTGATAACAAGTGAGGGTGTTGAGTTCAATATAAAACTGTATGTTATCCAAATATTAGTATGACGTAATACTGAGAGACAAATGCATGACGGGATTGTTGTGTTGTTAGTTGAACTTCCTCGTGAAAGCAACTTACTGTACAAAACTACATTTGTAATAAACGTGAAAATAAAGAGTGATTTCATTACAAATACGGTGTTCTAAAGTCATGGCTTCAACACATTTCTCAAATCTGCTTGTCATTTCAAAGGTTAGCCCCAGTATTTCAAGACTAGAATGCCGTTCAAAACCATAAAGTGGTGATACACAATCCTCTGATCGTCCTTTCTTTAATATAATCATTTCTTTACATTTGCCCTCATTTAAAAGTAAAGAGTTTGATTCGGACCAGTCCTTAAATTCATCTATGGCTTTCGAACTACAATCTTGGGTATTCTTCAAAATCGGTACCAAAAGTGAGGAATCATCCGCGAATTTAACAAGGGGGTTGTTGGAACAGTTTTTAATCTCCAAATCATTAATAAATAAATTAAAGAAATGTGGTCCGGTTACAGTTCCTTGCATAACTCCCTTGTTAATATCTTTCCACTTGCATGTCGTTCCTTGGAAAACTATTCTCTGTCTTCGATCTTTTAATAAATTTAAGTACCAATTTACTAAATAAGGGTTCATAGAACTCGATTTCAATTTTTCACTCAGTTTTACGTGTTTTACATTGTCAAATGCTTTGGAAAAGTCCATTGCAATTAATCTCACTGCATCACAACTTGGTTCTTCTAGTTCTTTCAGGTACATATACTGTAATTTCATTAAGGCGTCTGTGCTACACCCACCGATTCGATAAGCAAACTGGGAAGATGATAACTCAGCCTCGAAAGATCTTTTACTATGGTAATGATAAACTGTTCTTTCGAAGCATCGTCCAATCGTATTAATTTGTTCAGGTTGGTTTGACAGTCTTTGTTCGGCACTCAATACACCATTGAATTTTTCTGAATTAATTTGCATTAGCGATTGTCTTAGGGATTCATTTATCGCGTCGCTTGATTTAAGTTTGTTTTCGAGACAGGTAATGGTATTTTTTAATTCGTTTATCTCCCTATTCCTTCCTCGAACCAAAATAGATATATCAGCCTCCAACTGACTACATTTCTCCTTTTCCTTAAGAAGCTCGTGTTTAAGTTCACTTATTTGTTCACTATCACTATCCCGTGAATTGTAAGCTGCAAGAAACTTAGTTTCTATATCTCTGCACATGATTGCTGTATCGAGCTTAACTCCCTCCAAATCAGCAGCTAAAATTCTACACTGACAGCCAAGTTTGAAATCATGCTCTATGCTGACCTTTTGATGATTATCAGTTAGTTCAAAGTCCTTAATACAGTGATTAGACATCTGTTCAGGTTCATCAACAGCTGAGTTTATAGTTGCAATCGAACTATGTTTGGCCGACACACATACATTGTTTGATAAACCGTCGTCTTTAGAGATTGCCTCTGCACACACATTTATTAACGCGTCAACCAAACCCGAGCTTTCCTCACCGTGAAATACAAGTGTATTTAGTTTCTTGGGATACCAAGTTATTGATATATCTAGATTATAGCACGTGAACTTTTTCGAACAACCGCCTGGCGAAGACCATTTGCCATCCAATTTAAGATCGCATTCGACAAATTTCTGCCATATATCAAAAGTTCCAATCCATTTAATTCGTTTACTATCATAACTTAAGTTGGAAGAAGCTATATGATTACAAATTTCTTTAGCGTTCCATATTTTCGGGATATTTTGATGGAATTTTGTAGAGCTCACAAAATTAGAAATGTCCGCCATTTTGACATAAAGCTGAAAAATAGACCATAAACGGGCATGCAGGTACAGGAACATTGACCATATATAGAACATTTCTCAACTGTTTGCATGCAGCGACCAATCACAGTGTATTAGTCATCATCTTTAAAGCAGCATCCTGGAAAATCTTACCAATTCCACTACAGTACGACATAATTGTGTGATATTCTCCAAGTCGAACGACAATTCGATTTCTAAGTTCTTCTTCCTTCCATCTTATCATCTGAGCCTTTGCATAGATGGCTTCATCAAATATACAAGAACGATTTCAGGAAGCTCGAGGCGTTGGCTAATGGAAACATTCTGTTTCAGCATCTCGTTGACTGTTGTCAAGTCTGTGGCTGGACTATCGATCACTGGAAGGTTACCGATGTTAGATACATCAGGCACATTTGCAACCATCTGACTGTTAAATCCTGACCACCCAGGTATGATACTGTACGCGCGGCATACTATGTAAGCAAAGTCAAGATTTATTCCAGGTAGTTGGAGCTGATGATTGTTGTGAATGTCTAGATCAAATTCAGCGTTATCTGACATAGTGATGGTACGCCTTTCTTTGTGCTGATGTATGGTCGAATATCATGATCAGGAGCCTTCACAGTACGTATCTTCTTACTCACGATCACCTTGCTGTTAAGAGCAGGCTCTCCTCTTTGATTCACGATTTCATTTGCAATATGCGTGATACCTTTACCAGTAAGAGTTTCCTCATTAAATTCACTATCCCATACAATCGTGGTAAAATGCCCAACATTGATATTCCTTGGGATAATCACATCATCAGATGCATTACTAATCGAAGCCAGTGCCGAGTCGTGTTTGCACACAGTAGACGATGAAACCGTGTGGCCAAGTCCATGTAAAATGTTGATGAGCTTCGTTGATCCAGAAATTTGGCGCACAGTCATACCGAGAGCCAGCGATTTTTGCGTCTGTTTCTTCCCTTTTGCTTCAGCATATACGAGACCTTGACATGTTGAAACGACCTTGCACATTTGACTGCGAGACATCACCACTCTTTTATCCATTACGGGTTCGTTTGAATACCCAAGTGTCCAAGCGATGAAGTTGAACAGTTTAATTGGGATCGATTCCGTTGCACGTTGTATGGTCAGATCACTTGAATCAGGGCGCCATCCATCTGAGCCTTTGCTTTCCTTCAACATCTTTCTAATTTCCATTGCTACGTGAAATAATTGATGTGGAGCACTATCACATGCATTTCGGTTTAAACTTTCCCCTACGTTGTTTTCCGCTTCATCGTCATCGTCTTCCTCATCGCTATCACTTCGATCCACTTCCAACATATCTGCTATTTCCCCAGGAACAATGTCGCCAGAGTACACCAGTGTTCCTTTCACCATTGTTTTAGACGCATGAAAGACTACTTGTGGGTACCGTGATTGGATCCTCTTCTTTAGGCGCCCGCTTTGGTATGGAAGATCACTACCGTCAATTTCATTAACAATGCCAATGAATTTCTTGAGAAGATAACTCAGAAGCAATATTGCTTTATTGTTGATTATTCTTCCCTCCATAAAGTTTAAACAGAATAAATCAAACGCTCTGTCATAAACCGTGGGTTTCGTAACTGGCAGTTTCGTATTCTTTATGTTCGACAAAACTTTTGTGTACATTTGGTAGCATTTCGTATGATATCTTGCTTCTACTGCAACACAATCTTTTCCTCTAATATGTACGTGAACACTTTCATCATTTCTCATTTCGGCAGCCATTTGTAGCAGCCCAGCAATTACCGTTTGTGCGAGAGAGAGATCTTGCTTTACGCGCTTCTTCGAAGCCTAAAAAATAAAAACGACAGTGCGTAAATCTAGGTGTTTGTAGTCTTTTTAATACTTTTATGAAGTTCTTTTGATTCGTTAAGCACAATATCATAATATCTTCTTTACTATTAATATACTGTAAGCATAATATCTTAACTAATAATTTCTCAACTGATTCCTACCGTATTAGTGACATATATAGGTCCAGATTCTTTACAAATCAAACAGCATTTTGGAAGAACATTCGACGACCTCGGAGTTGCTTCATTACCATAATTAAGACCAAACGATTGTCTAGTTGTTCGCTGCAATTTTTCTGCTGGATCGCCAAGCTCACCCGTACTAGTACTGCAGCTTTCGGAGGTTCACTTGCCGCTATTTTCTGGGCCCTTTCCAGTTTAGTGATGTCCGTGAAACTTCGATAACATGTCAGGTGATACGACATAACACCATGTAGCTATTCACATGACTTCACAGCAATATTCCTGGATGTATTGTATTTCTCATGCTCGGGAAGTTCAAGCCATTCTCTTCTCCGGTAACTATTGTTTCCAATGTTTCATTTGTCAATTGTTTTTCAGGACCAAGTTTGCCTTCAAAGTGAACAATGCAAGGAAATGATCCCGCATTAACTGCCATATAGTTATTTTACATTATTTCAAGGTTTTAAAACAATACAATTATCTATATTATTTTGTTTTATGAAAATTATTGGTTATCCAGTCCTGTTATAGAGATTACATTCCATCATTCAAATGTCTTACTCGGTCATAAATTTGGTGGCCTGGGGTATAATGTAAGGAAGTGTAACGGATGGAATTTTGTGAACATACACGGAATAAATTAAAGATGGCGCCGTGTTAAAAACGGCAAAATATAAAAAAACTGCGGGTCTACGACTTGGGAACTCTTCGAATTCGGATTCAGCGTGGTCAAAAATGGTAAGTTTTCTAAAAATTGCTCAGTTCTAAAAGGTCTTTATTGAAACTGAACGATATCGTGCCACAACATGCGGACTATGAGGGTAAATAAACATGCTACTGCGTAATAGTGATTTCGAAGCAACTTTGTCACATATATTTTAGAAAGTGTGATTATACTTTGTGGTTGCAGCCACAAAGTTAAAAGCAGTTCAACTTTTTCAGTTTTCAGGAAAATGTCGCTCCGCGCGCAAAATTCCGCCTAGTGGAAATCAGCTTTAAGCGAGAGTTTGTGTAGAAATGCTCTGTTTACGGGAAGTTATTTTGCATTCGCAAGCGTCAACCAAACTGCGGCATTTTCACAGTTTGATTATCATAACGATAGATAAAAGCTTTGAAAATTCAATTGAAAACATTTTAAACCACCCGTATTTGTATAGAATATATGTTAGTTGTATTAACATTGAACTTCTTTCTGTTTGAACCCAAATTTGTACTTGTTTTGCGTTTGACAAGGCTGTCAAGCTCGCGACGATTGGCTTTTATACCTCAGGCATGACTGCAGATTTAGCGTGTAAAATGTCTTCTTGTTTGTGTCGAGATTATAATATTCTATTGATGTACAGACACAAACGAGATATTCTATACACTAGAAACGTAGAGTACATTTTACTTTGTCTTTGTCTCAAGCAAAAAAATTATAAAGATTAAACAGGCATTCAAAAATATACAACAACAACGAACATCTCGTAATATTTCTAGCTTCGGGGAAATCTTCAAGTTTCAATGGAATTCTGGCGCATGCGCAACAAATTTCCCAGCTGTTTTCAACTTGTTAAAATTTCCTTCAAAAAGGAAATTTCCTTCAAAATGGAAGCACTGCTTCGGGCACAGTTTTTCTCATCCAGACCTCGCAGCCGGTAAATAACATATATGTATTATCGGCCGGTATATTTTGCATCATATGATATCAAAAGCTAAAATAAATCGTTATAATCTGATTATATAAGATTTAAAGGCATCAAAAGTGTATTTATTGTTATTTTTTCTATTGGAAACTGGTTACTGGTTTACTGTATTTGTAAGTGACAGTCTTATAAGCATATGCATGTTTACATTGTATGGGATTTTCGCTTCATTCGAGAAACGTTACGGTCCAAATGTAAACCGCTTCCGCCACCACCCTTCTGTACGCCTTAGTCTTTTCTTGCATACATTTACCAAAAATAAAATTAATTCAAGCGTCACTTGAAAGCAGAGTGAGCAAACTATACCCGGAAATAAGGTTACAATATATATAGCAATTAAGTTTTTGTTTGCTAGACGCCATCTTGAATCACGAATTGAACCCAATGACAATGCTAAATCAATTGGTAAATAACCGTGGGCTCTGGTTACTGATAGCCACCTAGTATAGTAGAGCAAGATACATCACGCGTGTAAACAAAGAGCACAGTTACTTGGTAACAGCTAGGACAGTCATTCAACAAAATTGCGTAACATATTAGGCTGCGACTGTTGTTTAATCTTTTTATATCATTCAGGCTATTATTGTTGTCTTTTAACTTTTTCCTATTGTTTATCACATCACAGATGCTGTTATGAGCATGACATGTGCTATCAATCACTAGTGAATAGGGATATATGTGTTGTTGGTGCCTGGTGGTGGACGAGTTACAAACGTGATGGTTGTAATGGCTGTGGTAAGTTTAGAGACATTCACTTCTGAAGCTCTCTATCAATTTGTATGTCCTGGTTAAAATATGGTACATGGTAAAACTGATTTTATGATATATATATATATATATAAAATCACCAATGATTCTATAAATTTCAGCATCAAGCAACAGTGGTTGTGGTGCCGAACTCTGTTATTGTGATCAGACAGCAGCAAGATGTTTCAGCAGAGCATTATACAACACATCTCACGAAAACTACGACCAAGACAAATGCCAGTGAACAACAACAATGATAACACTAATATAACACATAATGTTCAAGTTTTCAAGAATTATTAGAAAATGAAATATGTAGTGATAGTACCATGGTTTAAAATACATTCCCATGAAAATGATGTAGAACTATGAACCGTATAATTATATCTTAGTTGCAATGACGGAATGACGGGAACGCACTGAAAGATAAGTGCAAAAAGTTACTACATCTTTCGAGGTCACTGTGTTGTGATGTGCAAAAGTTATTTGTTTTCTGGCTGGATACATCCGTTTCAACAATATAAATTGTAATATTAATTAACTATATATTATTATAACTTATGCATGCATACATGCACTGATCATGAAACAACAGTCAAGTTCTATCTTCTGAAAATAAAAGTCTTGTTCATATGTCATTTTAGTAAATTTTGTATATACATACAGTAAACCGTTGTGAATATCAAGTTAGGAAATCTAGTCGAAGATAAACAAATAGCTACTAGTCAACGTGTTCACATTCATAACGCCCTCGTTATGGAATATCAGTAATCATACGATTCTCGTCTTTGAAATTTCCCCCCAATTATTCTCCACACTTTTGTTGTGATTTTAAAATATTATATACGCCATAATTTGTTTTGGGATATGATTCCATATGATGATTTTCTTCTACAATCGACTTTTGTATGAATTGTACTGTTATTATAAGGATTATCATATAGGCTATATGAGAAACACCTGAAAAAACCCTGCAGGAAAACATTCGAAGAACTATTTTCACATGCGCCTTTATTGTCCCTTTATTGGCCCAAAAAACCTAAATAAAAAACAGTTTTCTCGACATGTTTGCATCAGACACAGACTTACGGGTAGCAAGTCAACATGCAACGTCGTTCCCAGGCTCTTTCCTCTACGCTCCTAGCTGGAGAAAATACCCTGGCTGGGGTTGATCACGTGACCAAATTGATATCCTATTAGGGGGATGGAAAGTCTCCTATTAGATGCTTCCACTTCCGCACTTCACACTTCGATTGCAAGGAGTGGCCGCCTGAACAATCATCTTTCAGAATCATATATACTTCAAAATACTTGCCAAAAATTGGTTTTGTTTGCTTTTACATTATAGAAACCTGCTAAACTGTATATTCTTATAGAACGGACAAGTCATTAAATCAAGCAACGAAAACGTATGATCGTTGCTTTGAAATATTTTCCCTTTTGTTCTCTCGGAGTTCGGGCGCAGTTTCATTTCACGCGTACTGTACGTTTCTGTTCTGCCTCGGGCCGCCTCGGGTTCAGATATTTACGGTAAAATATTCTTATAATATGCCACTAAATTGTTGTTATATGGAACGGTATAAATTTGTTAAATAGAGGTCTCACTAGCGACTGTGTAGGTTGTAGTGCCTTGGTGGTCTTACAGCAAACGTTACACATCTGGACCACTGATCTGTACTAAGACTGGTTAACGCATCTATAGTATACAAAAGTGAAGCCGGAAGTCACCGGCCGCCACCCGATTTAAGGGTCCCCCTTTAGTATAGATTTGTATTACAAATGGTAGTTTTTCGCGTTTTTTTGCCTTGGCTACGTTTCTGACCGGGCCGGTTTTACAATCACAAAGATAGAAGCATACAAGAAGAATTTTGAGCAAAAAAATTGGAGAATTATGGCTTTATAACTTCGCGAAACGGGATTTACACTTTTGAAGGAGTGGAGAGCCTCGGACTTTGTTTATCAACACGAGCTCGTTTTGCTACTTTCATACAAAATCAACTCAAAATATACAAGAATTACTGTTATTGGATGAATATTCTCAGGAAATTTGAAGAAATGAAGCAGCTACATTGTGAACAAACGC